AACGGACTAAAACATTGCATATGTCCGAAATGTGGGTCAAAGTAAAGAGAACTGAAAAATGCATGGGATTATAGTGGAAACAATGGACGTTTGTATAATATTTAATAATAGAGAGGTTTTTGAAATAAGAACGAGATTTAAATCTCAAAGGTTTTTTAATGAAAATGTCCATTATCCAAAATTCTTCAGAATTTGATCTATATAGTTTATATTCAAAAGATCTTCATTCCGACTTTTCGGAATATAAAATTTAAAATCTTTTTTATTCAGAAAACACATGTTCTGCTTTCATCTCTGACAGTTCTTTATAAAGTCATACAATTCTATAATCCCGATTTTTACATTGCTCAGCCTTAAATCATAACATACTTCAGCGTCAGCGATGACAAAGTTTATTTACAATTCGACAATGCCAACAACCATAATGCCAATTGTATTTGTTTATTCAGTTGACAATACACGAAATATCGGAAATAACCGCTATGCGGTATTTTGTACCAAAAATATTTTCCACTGAAATAAAATTGACAATGCTGAGGCTGATGGTTCTCTTGAGCCCTTTGGTCGTGTTGGTGATGGCGTTCGTGTTGCTGTTGATGGTAATACCTTTTGGCTATTTGGTTTACATGCAAATTAAATGTAGTTGCTGTAGGTTTATCGAGGTTTTTACAGAATTTGGTTTACCTTTTTTGTTGGTGTTTCGTATTTCTGCGGATCACCATATTTTGATGGGGAGGGTGGGAAAAACGTTGTATGTGATATGTTATTTAGTTTAACTACAAAAAAGTTGAATAAACATCTTTCAGTCTGTATTAAAATCAGCAAATAGTTTATTGATATTTTATATTCCATATCAGAATGGGATTCCAGTTGTTATTGATATTTAAAACTTATTCCCAACAATTGATTGATTTCTAATGGAATTCATTTCTTCAATTACATATATATTTTTGTGGCAAATGTTATTGTTGTTCTCTTATGAAATTGCTTCCTTCATTATGGTCATTTAATAAATTGCCATACTGCAACATTCATTACTTCCAGATGGACTTACTGATTTATCGACTTATTTAAATCACGGCCACTTGTCAGGTTAGTTATTTCGTTTACCATTTTTTTTTCAAATGCGGCAAGTTGTAATATTTTCGTTCTACAAATTTGTTCTTCTTCTTCTGGTCTCATTATATGTTCACTTCTAATGTATAAGTTGGATTTCTGTTTCTCTCTCTCTATTTTTCTCTACCTTTTCATAATCACTTTAAATGTTTCATATTAATTCATTTGCATGTTTTCAAGTGTATATATTGCATGTTTTATTTGTATATATTTTAGGGATTTTTTTTTTATTATTTTGAATGTGCAAAATTCTGTATACATCGAAAGTAATAATATTTCACTGTAATGGGGACTTTATATGTAGGTGTAGACCTAAATGTGAAATACGCCATAATGTGCCATAAGAACGACGAGGAATTGGCATATTCGCGTCTTTGCCAACGCGATATTTTTTAGTAACAAAGTACTTGTCGCAATTATGATCCGAAGTGGATGAAATTTGCAAAGCTCATCTATTTGGCCCTAGGACGATTGAAATTGGAGAAAATCGGTTCAGATTTACATATAGCTCCCATCAACGACGTAGCAGGCAACAGAAAACGAGATAGACACATGGTTCCTTCTGAGAATATGCATAGAATCACTTTTAAGTCGATTTATGCATGTCCGTCCGTCTGTCTGTCCATGTTAAATTGTAACCAAGAACATGTCGTATTTATTATTCGAATTGGATGAAATTTGGCACAGCTCATTTATTTGGCCAAGGACGAACCCTATAGAAATTGGGAAAATCGTCCGATTCAAGGTAAATGGTGCACCAAAGACCCTAAATAGCTTTCGATTTGCACGAAATTTGGCACAGCGTACGATATAATTTGTGCTAAGTTTCGTGAAAATCGGTTCAGATTTAGATATAGCTCCCATATATATTTTTGACCGATTTTAGGTAAATAGTGCACCTAAGTCCCTATATATCATTCGATGTTCACGAAATTTGGCACAGTGTACTGAATTGGGTCTAGAATAATGTGTGTTAAGTTTCGTGAAAATCGGTTTAGATTTAGATATAGCTCCCATATATATTTTCGTCCGATTTAAGGTAAATGGTGCACCTTAGTCCCTATATATCTGTCAATTTACATGAAATTTGGCACAGCGTACTAAATTTGGTCTAGAATGATGTGTGTTAAGTTTCCTGAAAATCTGTTCAAATTTAGCTCCCATATATACTTTCGTCCGATTTAAGGTAAATGGTGTACCAAAGGCCCTATATATTTTGCGATTTGCACGAAATTTGGCACAGCGTACTGAATTAAGCATAAAATGACGTGTGAGAAGTTTCGTGAAAATCGCTTAAGATTTAGATATAGTTCCCATATATATTTTCGTCCGAGTCAATGTAAATGGTACACTCAAGACCCTATATATCTTCCGATTTTCACGAAATTCGGCACAGCGTATTGAATTGGGTCTGGAGTCATGTCTGCCATGTTTCGTAGAAATCGCTTCGGATTTGGATATAGCTCACATATATATTCTCGTCCGATTTTGTGTAAATGGCCTCTACATTTCTTTCGAATTGCACGAAATTTGTATAGCGTACTGAATTAAGTCTAGATGTGTGTTAAGTTTCCTGAAAATCGGTTCAGATTTAGATATAGCTCCCATATATACTTTCGTCCGATTTAAGGTAAATGGTGTACCAAAGTCTCTATATACCGTTCGATTTGCACTACATTTGGTTCTTTCGGGGTTGTTAATGGGTGGGACATTTTGTGGTGAAAGCCCTCGATGAGTATCATCTAATCTCTAGACGTATAAATGGGGGTACATATATTTTGTTTGTCCTAAGTTGTGAATATTAATACTCTTCACCAAACTGTGATACAGGTTTTATGTATTTGTGCATATATTTGCAACAGGCAAAAATAATCGAGATAGACCAATGGTTCCTTTTTTCTGAGTCGAATTTTGCATGCCCGTCCCTCTGTCTGTCCGTCCATGTATTTTTGTGAACAAAGCACAGGTCGCATTTATGATCCGATTTGAATGACATTTGGCACAGGTCACTTATTTCACCCAAGGGCGAACCCTATTTAAATTGGAGAAAATCATTTCAGATTTAGATATATCTCCCATATATAGTTTCATCCGATTTTATGTAAATAGTGCACCAAACTCCTAATATTGGTCCAATTGAAACAAAATTTTGCACAGAGTACTGAATTAGGTCCTGATTGATGAATGGGGACATTTTGTTGGAATCGGTTCAGATTTAGATATAACTCCCATATATAGTTTCGTCCGATTTTAAGTAAAGGGAGCTCCATATTGCCAATATTTGTCCGATTGAGACAACATTTTGCACAGCGTAATGAATTAGGTCCAGATTGACGTATGCGAAGTTTTGTTGGGATCGGTTTAGATTTAGGAATAGCTCCCATATATAGCTTCGTCTGATTTTATGTAAATGGAGCACCATACTGCCAGTGTTTGTCCGATTGTGACAAAATTTTACCATAGCGTATTTAAAATACTACAGGTTGACGTCCGTGTAGTTTGTTGAAATCGATTCAGATTTAGATATAGTTCCCATATATAGTTTCGTTTGATTTTATATAAATGGAGCACGACATTGCCAATATTTGTCCGATGGAGACAACATTTTTTACAGAGAACTGAATTGAGTCCAGATTGATGTATGCGAAATTTTGTTGGAATAGTTTCAGAATTAGATATAGCTTCCATATATATCTCCATCCAATTTCACATAATGTTGTACCAAATAACTAATGTTCGATTAAGACGAATTAGTGCACAACGTACCAAATGACACCTAGAATAACGTGTATTGTATTTTGTGTCGAGATACATTTTGGATAGCGCACTGTGCTGCAGCACACAATTGCACCATACATATTCTCCTCGATTCCATGCAAATGATTGACATTTAATGTTTCATAAACTTCAGAATGGTATGTGTATGGGTTGCTTTAATTTAGTTCAAATATCTATGTACTTCACACAGTTAATTTCGCCCGATTCCATTTCAATGGTCCCCCAAAGGTGCTGTGACTATTCTATCTACAGGATATTGAACATATTAGCATCTCTTGTATGTACCCAGAGTGGTGAAGGGAATCATATAGTCGGTCCCTCCGACTTTTGAACATTCCTTGCTGGTTTTATAAAATTTCAGTCAGATTTTCCAACAAATTGGTATATCGGAAATAGGTCGGAAATTGTAAAATAATTATATAGTCCCTCTTTTTTAACTCAGATTCCTAAAGGGTCCCATACACTATAAATCATGCCGTCATGCCGATGAACCCCTTTTTGTATATGTGAGATTGACTAGTGTATGGGAAACTCTTCAATCACTATTCCAAAAAATCGATTTTTGTGCCAAAAATTGCATTTTGAGTCGTAAATTCAGTCGTTTTGTTATTCCGTCACAATTTTATTATTTTTGTACACAAAATTATTTACTGAGAACTTTCAAAATGAATATTATTCTCCAGATTGATAGGGGTTCATTTTCAAAATCAAAACTATTTTGATTTTCTTCATGCATTGTGTGTGTGTCACACATACATAAATAAACTTTCAAAAAATAACACATACTATGATAAATGCTATACGGCATGATGTATAGTGTATGGGCCCTTAATGTTGTTCCGTAAAATATTTTGCTATTACACAATTGACTCAAGCCTATTTTCCAATTGCTTCATTATATATAATAATTTTTAATTATTTAAACATAAAATTTTCTTCTTCAAAAAATTTAAAGCTAAGTATTTACATGTTCACATAATTTTCTTACTAACAAAATATCATACAAAAATGAAATGTTGTATCTTATTTATTTATTTGTCAATTTCAAACTTCTACAAATATGCAAATATCTAACCACTATTGTTTGATTTTTTCTCTCATTGCAGATAATGAAATGCGCGATTTGAGTGTAACTTTCTATGGCAGTGCATCCTCACGTAAAATGATTGATGACATCTGTTTAATTCCGGTCATATTACTTGTGGCATGTATGCGATTTTTGGCGCCCAACTAAATTCAGCAAATTACAAATTTGAATATAAAAGCTTACAGAAAAATGAAAAACCCACAACTTTATATATATTAAAATATTTGCATTTTTTATATTCATATGTATTCACACATGTATTTCAATTCAGTTTTCAGTTATTCATACATTTTTTTATATGCAAACATATATACATATATTAAATTTATAAAAAATGAAAAAAAACCAACAAAACTCAAATCATTTTACAATCATTATGAACCCAAAGAGAAAAAAAAACACACACATAAATACTAAAAAAATCAGAGAGAGTAAACTAAATACAAATTCATATATATACACATACATACTAAGTAATATAATATTTAATACTAATAATAAAAAAAAACAACCCCAACAAACATCATGAACCATACATAAATAATATAGATATTATATGATACAAAAAATTCATAACCAAACCCTACTTTCTAAGTATAACAAATATAAATAAGAGAAAATATGAAACCCCTTTTTTGGTTATAACAAAATGGAATGAAAGAAAATAAAATATATATATTTTTTAATTTTTAAAGATTATAAATATTGAATTTATTTTGGGATTCAAAATCGAATTATTTAATATTACATTTTATTTCATTTGAGCCCTTCGATTTTGTATCACCCTGTAAAAAACTGAAACCAAAACTTTATAAAAATTGTGTAAATATTTAGGTACATATAATGGTGAATGTATTTTTTTCATTTAATTTTTTCTGTTTTAGTTTTAGCATACATGTATGTTTGTATGTAGCAATGTAAAAGAAGCAAAAAAAAAATAAATAAAATAAAACAGATAACAAAAACAAATTTATGTATAAAATTATTGGTAAATACCAAATTCATATTTGAAATTATTGAGATTATTTACTAGTAAAATACAAACATACAAATGTATTTAGGTCTCTATATATAGACAAATATAAATAAATATATATATATATACATGCTCCCTAGGCTAAGCACATCTGTGTATGTGTGCATGTATGTTATTCAGCGTATGTGTGTGTGTGTATGTCCTAAAGGTAAACGTATTGTTTCTAGTATAATTTAATCGAATTATTATGCTTTTATCTTTATGAAACTGATATACAAACATATATAAGAAATATATACATTTTGACATACAGTAGTACAGTATATCGTAATGAAACATATGTTCATTTGACAGTTCTATATGTATAAATATTATACAATTGAATTCATTTAAATTATAATTATTGTTTTAAACGAAATGAATTGTTTTTCTGTTTTAATTTTTTTTTTTTGTTTCTTTTCAATACCGGAAATTAGCATTTAATGTTAAAAATTAAAAAGGTTTTTTTTTATTGAATATTTATGTATGTAAAAAATATTTTGTTTGTATAATAACATTTTGTTTAAAGAAAAGTCAATCGGTTGGGTAAAAATTATTTTTATACCCTACACAACTATGTTGTCAGGGTATTATAGCTTTGTGCAGCCCCAAAAGTTTGTAACGCCGCGAAATATTGGTCCTAGACCCACCTTTAAGTATAATCGTCATATCTCGACTAGCTGAGTCGATCTAGACATGTGTGTCCGTCCGTCCGTCCGTCCGTCCGTCTGTCCATTATAATTTGTAAACACGATACAGGCCACAGTTATGAACCAATCTTCACGAAATTTTGCATGTAGGATGGGTTCTTGAAGACCCCTATTGTTTTTGGGAAAGATCGGTTAATATTTAGGGGATGAAATGGACCAAATACTAAATTTTTGTCGGTTTTTCTGGTCGCTCCAGAGGCCGCAATAATGGCCCGAACATCGTGAAATTTTGCATTGAGAAGGGGATCGGGCCAAAGAATAAGCATGCCTGTTTTGATAAAGATAGGTCAATATTTAGCGGGTCAAATGGACCCTGACTTTTGTGTGAAAAATGACAAAATTTGTATTCTATAGCGTATATATTTACTCCTGAAGGACATAGACCCGAGAAGTTGATATTTTATCATAGAGGAGTGGTTGACCTTTAAATTAATACCAATTATGTTGTTGTATGTTCCCGGATGTGGGAGTTACACCGAAATATTTACAGGTATTTCCGTATTCGTATATTATTTAATAACCCATTATCACTCTAGAGAGCGGAACTATAGCGCTGATCGCTTTGAAATGTTCCATGAGGTTCCAGTTATGGTCAAGGACAACGCCTATAATTTTCGGTGAATATCAGATAATAATTTTGGAGTGTAGTGGACCGAAAACTTACTTTTTTGCGTTATTTTCGAGTCGATCTATAGACCACAAATGAAAGCCGAACATCACAATACAACCCACGGTGAAAGAAAATCTGGACAATAGCTGTACTGAATACTCGTAATATTCGGAAAATATGTATGTGTGAGGAAGAGGTGCTGTTTATCTCTAATCGGGCAAGAGGGTGCAAATATCAGTAAATATTTCCCAGGCTCGGAATAAAAATCCGCAGAAAATTTGAGTTCCGTGGTAGTTGTGTAGGGTATCGTATGGTCGGCCCCGTCCGACTATACTGCTCCGCTCACTGGTTTTTATATAAAAAGGAATATCCTCAATTGCTAGTAAAATGTGTGAATTTAAAGACTAGAACTTTCAGTTGAAAATCGTGAATCAGGCAATGAATTAATAGACACTCGAAATTGATCGTAAATGTATTCGTTTGAAAAATATTCGGGAATTTGCGACGGAGTTTTCCGCGAATAGATAATTGGTGGGCAATATCGAATTCCGATATAAATTTCCTACCTTAACATCAATACAAAAATGTCGACTCAAAAATGTAAAACAAGGAGTCGGTCTGTGGATGATTTCTATTAAAGTTTTAAAAACTGGTATTTAAATTTTTTTGTTACACAGTTTTGTGCAACATATTCTATTCACATACCGTAACGGCTATAAATTCAGTTTTCTCTCTTAAAATATTTGTATTTAACACGGTTTTTAGTAAACGAAGAATCTGAAAACCCGAATTACAGACAATTAGATTGGAGATAACGGCTGGAATCCCCAAAATACCAAAAAATGAGACAGGATCTTCATATGATTGGAATGCCAAAATATTTTCCTATATTGTAGTTTTTTTCCAAAACAGATGATGCAATACTTACTATGAAATTCACCTGTACCGAAATTTGTTATAAAGTTTCCAGTGTCGAAAATGGTTATTTCAAGGAATGCTAAAGCTCCTCTGAGACAAAGAATCACATCGACTTCTGTGGTACAGACGATCAGTATACAAACCTCTATAAAGATTCAAAGTTTTGAAAAATGAACCACTAAGGAAGAGATGCTCGTATGTATTCGTATTCTTTAGATATAAAGGACCTAGCACCTGATACTGATAAATTTCAAGCAAAAGATCGACCAAACAATTTGAGGTTTATGCTCGTTGGAAAGGTGACATTTCGCAGTAAAAAAATTATTTTGGTAACAGGTGATATTTCGCAGTAAAAAAAAAATAATTTTGCTGTTTTTTATACCCTACACAACTATGTTGTCAGGGTATTATAGCTTTGTGCAGCCCCAAAAGTTTGTAACGCCGCGAAATATTGGTCCTAGACCCACCTTTAAGTATACCGATCGTCATATCTCGACTAGCTGAGTCGATCTAGACATGTGTGTGTGTGTCCGTCCGTCTGTCCATTATAATTTGTAAACACGATACAGGCCACAGTTATGGACCAATCTTCACGAAATTTTGCATGTAGGATGGGTTCTGGCCAATGAAGACCCCTATTGTTTTTGGAAAAGATCGGTTAATATTTAAGGGATGAAATGGACCAAAAACTTTATTTTTGTTTGTATTTCTGGTCGCTCCAGAGGCCGCAATTATGGCCCAAACACCACGAATTTTTGCATGGAGAAGGGGATCGGAAAAAAGAATAAGCTTGCCTGTTTTGATAAAGATTGACCAATATTTAGCGGCTCAAATGGTTCCTGACTTTTGTGTGGAAAATGACAAAATTTGTATTCTATGACGTATATATTTACTCCTGATGGACATAGACCCGAGAAGTTGAATGTATATCCACGAGGAGTGGTTTACCTTTAAATTGATACCAATTGCATTGTCGTGTGTATTTGGATGTGGGAATTACACTTAAATATTTACAGGTCCTTACGTATTCATATATTATTTAGTAACCCATTATCACACCAGAGGGCATAAATATAGCGCTGATCACTTTGACATTTTCCATGGGGATCCGGGTAAGGTCATGGACAACGCCTATAATTTTCGGTGATTATCAGATAATAAGATTGGGATGAAGTGACCCTAGAACGCAATTTTTTGTGTTTTTAGTTGATTTATAGGCCACTATTGAAAGCCGAACATCACAACACAACCCACGGTGAAGGGGATCTGGATATTAGTAATATTTGTATACGTCTAGTCGATCTAGGGGGGTGCAAATATCGCGAAAGCTCAGAATATCGAACCATAGAAAATTAGATTTTCGTGGAAGTTGTGTAGGGTATCATATGGTCGGCCCCGTCCGACTATACTGCTCCGCTCACTGGTTTTTTAGAAATATTTCCCCTGCTAGTAAAATATATTTTTATAGTTTTGTATATTTATTTATGTTATTCTTTTTTAATATGTTAAAAAAAGAATATATAAAAAGCCCCACTTTAATATACCAAAGAAATTACAGAGAAAAACAATTAAAAAATAATATACAAAACTAGTAATAAAAAAATTAAAAAGAAAAAAACTCTAGAGTATTTAACTGATAGACGTAATGCTTGTAAATAAATATGAGATTTTCTCATTTGGAAAAGAGTAAATATTTATATTATAAAGTAAATGTAAGTAAATAAATACAAACTATTTGTTTTTTTATTTCAATTCCAAGACCACCAATAACTAAAGGCAACACAAGCCCACAATTCTCGATATTCGTAAATGATATTTAATATTAAATGCATACTATAAAGAAATGACAGAAAAAAAACAAACCGATATTTAAGCACATTAAAATCTCCCACAC